ACACCACACATGGGTGATGACCAGTTTCCTCCATACTAGATAAGAAACCAAGTGGGTAGCAATATCCTACCCCATCAAGTCCAGTTTTAACTTTCCCTTTTTTTCTGGGAAGAAAACGAAATGTTATCAAGAACCTACCACTAAAATCAGGCACTAAACTGGCTGCTTTCACATACACAAACTCAATTAAATCTTAGAACTACTTAATGAGGTAGGTATCATTTGCATACCTAAGCAGATGGGGAAATTGTGGCCCAGAGAAACAAAGTTACTTGCCCAAGGTCACATACCTAGGAAGGCACACCCAGGTCTGTCCAACTCAATAGTCCCTCCTCTTTCTATCACATCATGCCATCTTCCTCAGAGGGGCCAATGACCCCCTTTCCTATAAAGTTAACATGTAAAGAAACAAAAGCATTTAAAGGACTAGGCTGAGAATAATCCCCCTACAGAGAGGCAGAGGATAGGAGCAAAACATTGCCGTTTTAATCACTAAGTAAAATTTGTGCGGAACTAAGGAGCACTCTTTTAAATCCTTACAATACTTACTTCATTACAGTAAAAAACACCTAACTTTAAATTTGCCACCTAATGATTTCTGTGTGTATTAAGTATAGTCACTGTTGTGCAACCGATCCCTAGAACCTTTTCATCTTTGCAAAACTGAAAATCTGTAGCTATTAAATACTAATTCCCTCCCCACTCTTCCCACAGCCCCTGGCAACCACCTTACTACTTCCTGTTTCTAGGACTACTTTAGCCACTTCATATGGATGGAATGATACGGTATTTGCCCTTTTGTGCTGGGCTTATTTCACTTAACATAATGGCCTCAAGGTTCACCCATGTAGAGGTGACCGGAAATTGCCCAGGCCAGAAAATTTAAATCATTGTTATGTGCCATTTGACACGACTCTGCAATTTTTTCACGTGTCTATGGCTCCCTTTCTCTGACAGATGGTGACCTCTTAGTGATCGAAAACCATGTTTTCCAAATCTTTTAGACCATACCCAGCACCCAGGACGACATCGAGAACGTGAAAGCTACATCACGGACAGTAAGCCCTGTGAGATCAAGTACTCTTCTGTACTTATCATGACTCCCCGGCACGTGACCTAATTCCTGGCACATAGAAAATGAATAAGATGTACTTTTTTCAAAATACCAAACTCGATTATTTCTGAGGGCTGATTAAGAATGAAAAGATGGGAAGTCAGAGACCTGACTCTCCAGCAACATTTGGAAGGAATAATCTAAAGGAAGTGAGAAAAGCGTTAGCTAAATGGAATCAAAATATCTGAAAAACTTGCTCCTAAAAATTACTAGACTCTTTATAATTTATTTCTGGAGAGTAAGAAGGCAAAGGGACAGAGTGACATGAAATCTAGCCCAGATCTCTCAGATTTGGTGCTTCACTGTACTCCATTTCCCCATACGGAATTTAGAGTTGTGACACACAAGCTATTCTCCAGATCGGGGGTCCCCAGGGAGAGTACCCCAAGCTCACAATGTCTTCCCCGGTCACAAAAAGGAGAAACAAACTCCCGGCTGTGCTTTCCACCTCCCCAACCTTTAATATCGAGGAACAGACAAATCCCCAGGTTGCATGTGTGAAAAAGCCAGAGATGGATAAAAATAATTCAATGACAAATGCTGGAAAAACATACAAAGGGGCAGAAGCCAGACATTCGTGGGATTCCCTGACAGCTCGATCCACAAGGAAGGGTTGGACTGGAAAAAAACAGGGCCTCAGGCTCCTGCCAAGCCGTCTGAGGCCCTGTCCTTCCCAAATCATTCCGAGCAGCCGCCAAGACTTTACAGTAACCCTTCCAGGTCTCACAAAGAAAGATGCACTGTGAACCCACTGAGCCCTCATCACCTAGAAAATGCCTCTCCCCGACATGAGCCAACACCAGGCAAGGCTGGCAGTGCTGAGATGCCTCTGCTTATCACTTCTGGCCCTGAACCATGCCCCCATGCGCCGAAGAAATGTATAGTTAAAAGGCAGCCAGAAAAATCCTACCCATCTCACTAGCTAAAGAAAAGCTGAAATACCCAGCTTTCGGCATCTAGAGACCGAAACTGATCCCTTTAAGAAAAAAGAGGTCATGGACACTTGGTACCTGCATCCCAGAGGCCCTAGTGTCTAATTTGAAATCGGCCTCGCTTGGAGGTACACCTCACTCAGGCTTCTAAACATGTGACTGATTTTGGCCCTGACTACCTTCTCTTCTGGAGAATGGCCTGCAATTAATCTCACTTATTACCTCTGAAAAGTAACAACAGAGGAATGGCTGGCCAAGTCCAGCTCCAGAGCGCCTAGGGAACTGCAAGCTACACGGCCAGGCCTCAGACTGTCTGGGCAAGTCGTGGGCTCTCTGCCTTCCTCTCCCACAACAAAGCTTGAGCAGGGACTCCAGACAGACCAGAGGAACCAGGGGATTTGAGGAGCTGGGCTGAGCTCACACTGACCCAATGGGAGACGACAGCCCTGGGGCTACGTTTGGGGTGGTTTCAAAACAGCGGGGGGAAGAACAAGGTTGTCTGGTGAAAACTTGTGTGATCCATAAAATTGAGAACAATAGCAACACCACAGGGAAATGAAAAATAACACTATTTGCAGAGTGCTCGTGAGTCACCAGTTTTCATTCCTGTGGCTACCAAGTCACTGAGTCCTCCAATATGCACACGAGGAGCACAGCCAGCAATGGATTCTCTTTACGTCTTGTTACTGTTTACAGGACGGCGCCTGGTTTGGTGAACTGTCAGAGCTTACCGGCGCTGGAATCTGCTGCTGCTATAGCAGATGAACTAGCAGAAGTACCTCGTACCTAGCACCCACTTCCAGGGAGATCGGAGTGCCGTGGGGACATGCTGAAAGCTCTCAAAAACAGCCCAATAAAAAGAATTAAATCGATAGGTTAGGGTCCCTTCTTGTCAAAACCAGGAATAAAACTCACATCTCTAAGCTATTCATCCCATATTCATTGTACTCAGTCACACTTGCTGCTAAGAGAGGGACAACAAGAGACCAAGTAACCACAAAACAGTGACTTTGCCAGGTGAAAATGGAAACTGGGGCACGGTACTGTGTGGAATGCCTGCTGGAAGGGTCTGGCTGGGGCCTGTGACACCGCCAGGTCTGGAAGGAGCTTGGAGAACTCACTCAGCACCGCGTTAGGGTGGGCACCTCTGGGAATTCCACACGGAACGGGAATTCCCAAGCTGAGCCCCCAGAGGTTACGTGGGGGCAGAGGAGGGTTCCCAGGGTTACCCTGCGCTGAAATGGGACCTAAAAACTGGTCCTTAAGCTTGAAGAGCAGGTAACAAGAGGGCTGCTATGGGTACAACTAACCCAAACTGGCAAAGGCCAGAGGACTCTCTGGTGCCAGTGACTCTCAAGTCGGTGGCACGCTGTGCTGTTTTCCTGTAGCTCACAAGCACGGTCTGGCGGGGAGAAAACGACTCACAGTGCTGAACGGACTCCCACATCCTTCTGGGTCTCAGCACTGACAAACAGGTGCTACCAAAAGAAGGCTCGAAACCCAGCCATCATTTTCATGGGAAAAAAAAAATCTCCCTCGCTTCATCTACAAGTCGACTTCTCCAAGCCATGTAGTTTTGACATTCTGTTTGTAGTATGGAAAATGGTTACAGCCTTGTCGTATAGATAGAAAATACACTCCAGATTGCAGGGGGAAATGTTTTCCACAGAAACACGGCTCTGATTATAAAATGAAAATGGAATATTTGGAAATATTTTATATGGAAAATAAAGCTCTATGGTATAAACAGAATTTCTTTTTTACGACTTATGTTTTAGGAATGTGGTTATTCTGTAGATTGTAAATCACCCAACGACAGACTTTGGTGAAGAGAACTTTGTGGGAGGGTGTCTCGTCTCAAGCAGCCCTGCCTCTTGGTCCTCAACTCTTTATACTTCTCGGCTAAGATGATTCTCTTCACCCTTGACCACAACGATCACTGGTATGAAAGACTCTGTATTCAAGCATGATGTAATGTGCTTATGTTTATGTTGTTTCCTGGGCAGAGTCTCTGCTTCCCAAATTAGTTCCTTCAGTAATGATTCTAACACCAACAGACACTTCAACAACAGAGAGGTATCTCCTTCATGTCCAAGTCTTTGGTCTCCCTCCCACCTTTGAGGCAAGGCCGCATGCTGAGAGCTGGCCTGCTGGCAGAGGCCGGAAGTGCTGGCACCGGGATGGGGACTCAGTGGGGCACCTGTGCCAGACTTCCTTATTTGGAGGGAACAATATCTTTATTTGGCGGGAACAGAATACTTCATGGGAACAGTCACATTCCTCTCTAGCTCACTTCACTCAGGGACAGATGCAATTAAGCCCATATTTAATAGCCATGAAGGCAAGATGTACTAGGAATCCATTTCTTACGTTTTGTTGTTTTTTTTTTTAAATAGGAGACTTAAAATATGGCTTGAGACTAGAATTCAATACAGTGGTTCATTTTTAATTCAGAAGTTGCTTACTTTATGGTCAGAATCTACTTGGGTTTTATCGTCTGGCACTTCGCTCAACTACATAAAGGAAATTTCCTTCCCACTTCCCAAATGAACATTGTCCAGGGAGGGTGTTTGAGTTTAATTATAAAACCTAGATGAAACCAAAGTTACTGAAATGCAGTGTAGTACAAGGAAGAGGAGACAAGGAGAAAATGTCAAAAATCAAAAAAATGAAAATGTTGACGACAGGTGAGGATTAAACATAGTTTAAATTCTCCCACTTTCACCCCCGAGTGAGCTTACTGAACTGTATCAGAAATTTCCTTTGCCTTTGATTTGCCCACGAACTGTCTTACAAATAAACGGAGGCCCTCAATTCAAGAGCTAGAATACTGGGACACGTGGGGGGCGGCACAGACCATGGGAGTCTGTGCAGGGAGTCCAAGGTGGGAGAGGCTCACTAGGACGCAGACTGTCTCTGTGACCCGAACGCCAGCTCCAGGACCCTTCACATACCTGCTTCCAGGAGGGGTGGGGTGGCTCTCAGGAGCTTGGAGGTCTGGCTGTAGGGACCATATTGGGCCATTAGGACTGATCATAGGCCGAAGGGTCGGGGGGGTTGAAGCACTGCTTCTGTTTATGACGCCACTTGCCAAATTCAGGTTTGTTACCTAGAAATGAAGTGAGGGAAATAACCTTATTTTACAGCATTTTAGAAAAGTATCATTAAAAACGTGTGGAGGAAATCAAGTAGAGTTCAGGAGATGCTGATTCCATCTGAGCTAAAACAGGGGCTGTGACCAAGGCACCCGGTAAAGGCTGGCTTCTGCGCACATCAAAGAGTTTGAGAAGTGAGGGTGGCTGGTGTCAACATAAAAGTTATGAGCTATGTGTTCTGCTTGTACCAGGTGCAAAGTTCTGTACTGTGCGAGGCGCTGGAAATACATAGATCAATAACAAGAACAGCAAGAGTTTACTGCGTATTTACTCTGTGCCAGACAAAGGTCTAAGGCACTAGGCAAGATACTCAGCCTTTCTGACCCTTGTGTTCTCATCCACAAGTTCTAAATGCACAATAAATCTTAGTTACACATAATAATTATTACTGTAACATACAAAGAAGTCACTGATTTAGACCAAAGATGCACACAGGCAGAAGAAAATGGGCACTGACCTCAATCAACAGTTTACAAAAAAGGAGTATCATTAACCGACTAAACATTTAAAACTCGTCCTTTCCACTGGAAATCAAAGAAATGTAAAAGTAAGAGATGATTTTTCTATCTACATTGATACACAATAAAAAAAACCATTATATTAGATATATACTTATACTATGTATGTGACTATAAGTTGGTAGAATCTTCCTGGAATTTGGCAATAGATTATTAAAGGTATCAGAGTATTTGTACACTTTGATGCTACCATCTAACTTCTAGTAACTGTGCTAAACACTAATTGTACATGATTAATGATGGTGACTATTGTAATAGCAGTTACTACTTAGCAGAAGTTATAATGCACAAAGCTCTGTGTAAATGAGTACATTACACACATCTAATTTAAATGGTCATAATTTTGTTGGTAAGTGCCGTCATAATCCTCATTTGCAAAGGAGGAAACGGAGGCCTATGAACAACTGGCAAGGCCAGGATCTGGATCCTGGTCTTTGGAGCTCCAAAGCCCATCTTCTTACTACACTATATTGACGTTAATATTGAAAAAGGGAAAGATCAAAGAGGCTAACAGTGTTGTTAAGTAAATTTTGCTCTGTCTGTATAAGGGAACACTATGAATTTGTTACAGTGTTTTGAAAAATTTGTAACGATATCAGAACACACTCCTATCTCAGGTTAAAGAAAAATATCATGCTATGAAACTGTACAGAGGGCTGAGCCAAATCTCCTTAAACACACGCATGCACAGATACATACTCCTGAAGGTCGTGGGTTTCTTTGATCATCCAAAAGTGAGAATGTAAATTATTGTGAGAAATATAGATGCCACGTGGTGACCTTAAAACCTGGATGGTGAGAATGAAACCAGAAAAGAAAGGATGGTTTAAAAGCATTTCAGAATCAGTTGCACAGGGAGGGGATGCTAAAAAGCAGGAGGGCATGAAGCTGAATGCTGGGTGCTAAGCGTGAGGCGCCAGAGACGAGTGGCATAGGAGATGGAAAGTACAGGAAAAGCGTCCTCCTAGAAAATGTCCTAAGAACCTAGCAATTTTGACATTTACAAACAGAAGAATTCTGCAGTGTTGTTGTTTTCGCACTGAAAATCCTGAAAGGAAACAGAAATCATTTTTAGCAACCGTCTAGTACTTTATCCCTGGTTAAAGAACTCAGGACGGGAAAACAGCCCAGGACTAGGCCTTTACACCCAAAGACTCAGATAGTTTTCTTGGGAAGAGAGCATTTTCCCTAGGTCAGCAGTGATTCCTGGTGTCTGTGGAGGCTGGGGTATGGGACACTTGGGCTGCATCCTTCAGGGCGGACCTCTCTTTAGAAGAAGCCTCAGAGCTCATCATTTCTGACCCCCTTCCGCTGCTGTCAGGGGGAGAAGACAGACGAAAGGGTAGGGAGGGAATATTCTGGGGCAGGTTAAGGTAGTACTTTTTGGCCCCTAGAGCCTTTGAAAAGCCATGCCTTCTTCCTACACCCCAGAGGCAACATAGGTGAGGTTCTCAGACAATCAAATTGCTCCCTGTAGGACTGAACTCACCCCTGCCCCACACTGAGCCCTCTTCCTTCCTGCCCTGTTCCCTGGCCTTAAATATCAGGTCTTTCAAATTAGACATGAGCTGGCTGCCTGCAAAAACTCTAGAGACTGAGAAAGGTCTTTATGATAGCTAGCAGCTTCTCCAATTACTGCCTCAGTCAGTGTGCCAAAACCCTAATACGAGAGGCTTATTAATAATTTATAGTGGAATAGTAATAAAATAAACAAAATGTACACACTTTACCATGTTTAGTATAAACTGTATAGCTTGGAGATTAGTGAATGGGAAAGAGAAGAAATATCAAGTTTGTTCAATCTTCTCACTCTTGGCAAGGCTACCCCTAATTTAAACGTCATCATTTTCTTCCTAATACCTACGTTATTAACGCTCACCATGTGTCATGTATTAGATGTCCTTGCATTGTCGTGATGTGCATTAACTCATTTACCCCTGAGCAAGCCCTCTGATGTGGGTTCTGTTGTTACCCCCATTTCATAAAAAAGGAAACTAAAATCTACTTGATAATTCTGAGGGTAAGCAATTAGACAAAAGTCACATGCCTGGCTAAGTGCAGGGCCAAAGTTAAAACGGAAAAGGTTCTCCTCCAAGTGCATGTGAGATACTTTTCCCAAATAACACGGTGTAACATTTGAATAGTAATGTCAGGCACTTGGAAGTGTTTTAGATCTCACTTACTCCTTGCCCATCACTCACGGAAGCAGACACTGTTACGCTCCCTTTCAGAGATGGAGAAACTAAGGCTCAGAGAGTTTATAGTAGCTAATTTGCTCAAGGTCATATAACAGTTGCAGAACAGGAACTCTTATTTTAAAATCCATTTTCCAGTTTTAAAACTAGTCTGAAAGAGTCCTAGCTATCCTTAATTCTTAAGAGATTTTTGAAACTATAATTAGCCATCTCAAATTCTGACAATAGTGATTATACAGACATCGAATATACTTTGCCTTAAATATTATTCCACATGTCACCCTTCACCAGAGGATATTAAAGAAGTGGCGGGGTGGGGGGGGGGCCCTAACAACCTCAATCGGTTTGGTTTCTTAGCAGGTATACTAAAAGGAGGCATGAACACGAAACTAATTTTAGATTCTTGGTGGCTCTTGGTCGGTTTTGTTTTTTCATGTAACATCGATTCCTTAAGTCATGGATAAACCAAAAAATGGTAGCGATTGTGATTTCCTTCCACACAAAAGCAAAGTATCATCATTAATTTATTTTGAAGTAGGAAAGGGGCCAGTACTTAAATGAGAGATTATATAAAAAATAACAAAGCTTTTAAAGTTTCTCATCTTTTTTATTTTTTCATGTTTATTTATTTTTGAGAGACAGAGAGAGAGAGGGATAGAGGTGTGGGGTTGGGGAAGGGGCAGAGAAAGAGGGAGACACAGAATCTGAAGCAGGTTCCCGACTCTGAGATGTCAGCACAGAGCCTGACGAGGGGCTCGAATTCATGAATTGAGAGATCATGACCTGAGCCGAAATTGGACGCTTAACCGACTGAGCCACCAAGGTGCCCCTCATCTTTCTTTCCAAAGGACTCCTGCTAAAAATGTAACCTGTCTCTTTAAATACTAACTGACCTTCTATTTTAAATATCCTGTTCTTACTTCCGTGGTTTTGTCTAGAAGACACCTGGGACCTATGTCACCTATCCCCACCTGACCCGACTCTGTCTTCCTGGGACTACACTGCTAGTAAATAATCAAACAATTTGGGGCTCACTTAGAGATGGACTCAGAATCTTCTTGACACAGTCCTCCAGAGACAGCCAATACAAATCGATCCAAAGTGACAAACAACCCCTGTCTTAGAACAGCATTATGCAACAGAATGTATGGGGACGAAGTCAATGGTTCTCTAGTCTGTACTGCCCAATAGAGTAGCCATGAGCCCTATGTGACTATTAATGCATTTGCAGTGTGTCTGGTCTAACTAAGCAACTGGAGTTTAAACTTTATATAACTTAAATTTTATTAAAAAAAATTTTTTTTTAACATTTATTTATTTTTGAGACAGAGAGAGAGCACAAGCTGGGGAGGGGCTGACAGAGAGGGAGACATAGAATCTGAAACAGGCTCCAGGCTCTGAGCTGTCAGCACAGAGCCCGATGTGGAGCTCAAACCCATGGTCTGTGAGATCATGACCTGATCCGAAGTCAGACGCTTAACCGACTGAGCCATCCAGGCGCCCCAACTTAAACTTTAAAAGCCACATGCACCTACCTTATGGCTACCTTATTAGATAGCATAGCTCTGAAGCCTCAATCAGATCTAGCTGAATCTTATGTGTACAAACTTATGCCTTGCTAGAATTCAGTCCAAGCAAATGATCCCTAGATTAAATGACTTAAGAAAGCTTCTGGTTCTTCTTTTCAGTTTCCCAGGGTTTTTTTCCAACATGGGCAGAAGGAGTCGCTGAACTAAAATGGACCCAAGCATCAACTGTGGCCCTAACGGCACCTTGTCTTGACTATGGAAGGTCTAAGGGCTGGGCAAATCTCCCAGCAGTGGGCCGGGCCTTAGTAAACACCACAAGCCAATCAGGGTTCACACATGGAGGTACCTCCCCAACATGAAGAAGGATGATAAATGTGGCTGCCACCAGGCTACATCTGCCGCTCTGTCCACCTCTCTTCCTCCAGGTAAACAAAACTTCGTCAGATGAAGAGAAAGTGGAAAACTGCATATATATATCTGATATTCAATAATGATGAACATTCCACACTAAAGACTTTTCAAGAAGGACAGGCTTAATGGCACATAAAGACATATAGCACTAGTGAAAAAGAAGTGGCTCATCATTTTTGTTAGGAGTATTAGGGTATTAAGGTGGAGGTTGTAGCCATTGGGCCAGGTGGCTTCTCTGCTGCAATAAACCAGAGTCTGTGCTACTAAATCTAGGCTGGCCAACTCATGAATTCATGACATT